ATATGAAAACTCTGGGCTAAAATCTGTAACCATAATCGTGAAATTTACCGTTTCCTATAGTCTACTGACTGTGCAAAGTTTCATTTCGACTCTACTAAAGATGCTAAGTGAAAGTGTAATCATGTACTCCTGTACGTTCAGAGTTACGTCTACTTTACACCAACTAGTGTATCTTTTTTTCCAGACGTATCCTTGATGAGACGGATATCATGTTCAGAATTACTTTTTCTGACGGGGTTGAAGTTGAAAACCCCGCGTCCACATTCACTCAATGTCAGCTTCTGCTTGAACAGAAACCAGATCCGCAGTTGACCCCACAAAGTGAATTCGATAATGTTTCTATTGACGTTGTAATCACGTCTTATATTTAGATGGTTGGATGAATACCACAGTATACATGATGCCTAACTCGACACATGATTTTGGATATCTGCATCAGGAAAGGAAATACGACAGATACACCACTGTGTTTGTTTCGCCACCAGATACAGTTACTCATTTGCAGTTCGTGTTTATGAATGTTCAGTGTAATGATACCGACCAAGAAGTGGTCGTGTACGTGTCTAAGAAGAATTACAAATTGTGCAGACCAGTAGAAGGTGACTAGAGACTAATCGCTCGCAAGGCATATGCATTCAGGTCAAGATTCGTGATAACCCTTAGAAGGCAATGGTTTAAAGGCGTCTGTTAGTACGAGTAAGAGAGTTTCTTATTTTCTGTATTTTGACTTATATCATGTGTGGTTTTGTTGGAACCTTGCACCCTCTTTCATGTGCTACTAATACCTTGCTAATAACACAGCTTCCAGTTATTACGATTCACAGACTCTGAACCTCTGAAGGCAAACCTGAACAAAGTCTTGTTGTTTAAATCATTGCGTTCCATTGAAATACTCGATGACGGATCGAAAGCAGAACGATGTGAAACGAGTCAGGTTTAACATAGGCGAAAGTAGTTCAACTTGTGCGCATGCACGTCCGATACGAGATTTGACTTTGCCTTATCCGCTGAAATTGCTTCCGGAGTTCCTCGTTGACATCTGCAGTGATTCGGTTCCCAACGAGAAGGAGATTGATAAATTGCATATAACAAAGGAAATCACCAATCTTGATAGATCACCAATCTGAAAGAAAACTTTGTTTTAGTTCCAAGCAGTCCTCTACCCGTGCCACCGACTGCTGGACTCACCAACAACACGCATGATGTCATTGTGCGAAAGTACGAACGTTACATCAATAAAGGTATGCTATCAATAATGACGATTGACTCAGTCACTGTCTAACATCTACGTCAGTATGACGATATAGTTTCTTTACGATATTCCTTATACTAACAGCTTTACAGCGATTTGTGTTAAATGCCAGTTTCTGCATAGAGTAGAAAATATTCATTTCTGAAACCAGACTTATTTTTCCATGTGGCATATAGAAGCAGGCACCCTTGCTGCTCACCTGAATTGTGTCATTCTGAGATTAATACAATTTGCTATAACCAATATTGAGCTAACTTTTTCAATAATTAGTGGCAATCACAGTTATCTGACCTCAGTGGGTAAGCTCGCATATATCTTATGGATTTGTCTACATCACATCCTTATGTTACTTTTTGGTCATCTTTGTATCTGAGCATTGGAGATGCTACAGTCGCGTACTTGTAGATGCCATCTATCTATCTGTCACTTCTGAGCATTCAGAAAAAAAAGCACGGATGTGACCGATACTTCCTACTTTTTAACGGTTTATTTCATATTCGTGGAACAGCCGTGTTAAGAAACGGGACCGGCATGTGAACGTTCTCCCATTCATTTGAAATATACCTCTAAGGAAACTAGAATGCTGAAAAAAACTCATATCGTTTCACGAAATTCCTGTATATAATATTAATTATTACGACCGATTAACACGTTTTTCCACCGAAATTCTATTCATGAGCGCGATAAATAACCAACCTGATTCTTTGAACAAAAATATCTGTGGCCAAAAATGGTGAGTTCCTATCTGAAAGAACTTCCTGCTGTAAGAGTGAAGTTCCAGAAAATCGACTAGCAGCTCCTTACAAATTACAAGGCAATGAAACTCAGTTATTCTACAAATTGAAATGACCCGGCATTCCCTGCAAAACGACATCGTCAAATACAAAAAGACATCTTCATACAGATTGTATAACTTGAATAGGAGGGGGGTTCAAGAAGATGAGGGAATGGGGTTAGTGGAAGTTGGAAATTTCGATGGGTTGTTTCCATGATGAAATTTAAGTACAAAAATAGAGTGTTTTGACGTGTTCTCCCTTTTTACCCTGCAGGCAAAACGAGTAGTGACGAAGTGTGTTAACGAATTGCACTTGGAGAATTTCCCATATCGTTTGACAGTCTGATCCTCATTAACGAATGTGGAAGTGCGTTTTTTGATTGGCCTGATATGAGATGTTACGATGCCGTTGGATGGTTGAAGAGAAGAGGGACGTCAAGGGTTTTGCGGCCTATGTTCGCCGTACTCAAAGATATTTCAGAAAAACTCAGGAGTGAGAAGCGAGTTAATAGAATGCTATAGATTTTGGAATTTGAGATTGGTTATACTCGACGAGTGTCAAGAAGCTGATTTCACGTGATTTTAATTTTCAGTCATAATACTTCCAGTAGTCCTCTGTTGTGATCAATAACACTCATGTATTTCTGTTTCTGAAACCCAGATTGTAAACGAGTTTTTTTTCTTACCCTTCGTCTACCATAGCGATCATTCAAAACGATTGCCATCCTCTCAAAAGCTTTCAGACTTCTGATACTTGTGCCTATAAACTGATGCAGCAAATTGTTTTTTTCCATTGCATTATTATTACTCTATGCTTTTTGTGGCGTAATGTCCATAACTGTTGGATTTATGAAAAAATTGATGTTTCATTCACTCGCATATCTTTTATTTCGCTGAGTCATACATTCATAAATTCGTTCATTTCTTCATTCTTACTTTCATTAGTTAGTTTTTTGGTTCAAATGTCCATTGATTCGTTCTTGAAATCCAATTAACACTCAGTCATTACGAATCTCCCAGGATATCTCGGTACACACCGTAATTTACACAGTTGTGATCTGGATGAAAATTAGTTCGCTTTAACCTGTAGAATGTAGCTTATCTCCTGCCTATGTTAATCGACTAGTGTAAAGTACTGTTCACTTAACACAGGAGCTTTGCGGTCGTTGGTACATCAGACTCTGAACCGGAAGTTCCAGGTTGGGTCGCTGGTCTCCAGATTTCATCATTCAAGTATAAGAATGGTGGACACACTGATTGTTTAAAACTTTCCTTTTTTTCCATTTTCCATTTCAGCAGTGGGTCTGGTCTTAAAAAACGGTATGAACCTTCCTGTTGAATTTCAGCACAAATTGCGAGAACCGAATTGCTTTGTTGTGGTGCCCTTTATTCATAAAAATGGTTTCAGAATTGCTCTATCTTGATGAGAAAATGTCAGACATTAATTCGTAGATTAAACTGTGCGTTTTATAACACTGTCATTTAGCAAATCTGTCAGAAATATGCGGACAACCATTTAGCGAATGGCCAGTCAACCGAAACCGATTTCGTATTATCGGTGGTGAAGTTACGCCGATTCGTTCGCAGCCGTGGACTGTTTACATAACATCTCAAGGTGGCGGATATATCAGTTCCTGCTCTGCAGCAATCATTGACCACTTTTGGATCGTCACTGCTGGTCATTGCATAATTCGAAAGTATATCTAGTGATTCTCTCACATTCACGCACTACCTCTATTCCATTTCGAATATTGTAAAAGCTTCTTTGCTTTTTACGTTGACTGTAGAACGTAACAAAATTAGTCTCAGGGAGAAATCAGGATTATTCAAAATTTGAGGCTGAAACAGTTCGACAGTATATTTCAGAGTTTAGCACCTAGCTTAATTTAAGCATTTTCTTTTAATTCCTGATTTACATGGAATAGGTCTACTTTATGCTGTATTCTGGTGACGTTTCAGTCTTCAAGCCTCTTCAGAAATCTATTGAAACGCCACCATCCGTAGGCATGTTTGTTGATTAAAATAGATTTTTTTGTAGTTGATTAACTGATTTGCTCACGAAGTTTATTATCAAATAGCAGTTTTAGGTCAGTTGATCTTCAGCGAGAATCGCAGGTGATTTGCAAGCCACCGCCTATTATAATGAAGAGTAGCTTCGCTTGGATAAATCATGTAGAGTTGGGACCGATTTGTTTCAGGATGCGTTAGTACATAATAGAGAGGTGGTCAGTAAGTCAAGTGGCAAAACAGAAGCAGGAAACTACTGTAAAATTAATCATTTAAATATAAAACTGTGTTCTCTGTACTTCTGACTTTAATTCTATTTAAATTGCTAATGCATATCTAATTTTGCCATTCTTCTAGCGGTACAGCATTCGTCTATAACGCGTATAACAACGTTAAATCTCGAAAGACTTACGCCGTCGAAAAACAAGTAATTCATCCTCTGCATAGCAACACATATTTCGATATTGCGCTGCTGAAAACAAAAGAAAGAATTGGTTTCAGCCGATTCGTAATACCGATATGCCTTCTGACCAAAATTCCAGCAGTCGGCACGCATTGCATTGCGAGCGGAGTTGGTAGAACGTCTGAAGGTACGATTTGATTTTAACGAAAATTTGATCTCCCACCTCTCTACTTTTACTCGCTTTCACGTCGTCGACAAATTCCAGTGGCACAAAAGATGTATGATTCCACCGTAAGTACAATTTTAACAGTTTAGCAATTAATGTACCTCTGACCTAACGTTATATATGAGACACCTGCGCAACGATCGAATTGTAATAACCGACGTCTTAGACTTTATCATGTTGTTTAGGCACATGCTTCGAAAAAAAAGAATTATAGTAGATATAATATTTTGTGGAGAAGCTTCAGAGAGTTAGAAATTCAATTTCATTTACAATTTGTTGGAAGAACATGTAAGCTTGTTGTTCTGGCGTAGCTATTACGAATGAAAGTTTTGTAGTCCTGCCCATAAACGCTACGCGGCGAGAACGTGCTTTATAAAGTAAGAATATATTTGCCGACGCTATTGTAATGTCATTTATGGTACCTACCCTTGCATACTGGTACTGTAGTATATTTGCCTACTGGCAGCATCTTCTTGCTGCTCGAACAGCAACCAAGTAACGCGGTTTTGCATCCTGTGCACTGCAGGGATAGCCTGCCTAAAGATCATGGAACGTAGCCATCTTATATCGTCTCTCTAGAGCACTGGAAGCAAGAGGACGCCTGCAATGTATATGTCTGTATATTCCAGTGTAATTGTCTCTATCTGTCGCGCACTACCGCAGTATAAATATAAACTAATTGAAGATTTTATTATTTTACACCTTGCATTTTCGCTACGTATATCACCTATGAATATTTCTCATTTATGTTATTTAAATATATGCAATGTTTTATTTTGATTTACAATATTCCTAATTCAAAACCGCACCGTACTAAACCACGTTTTGTTATTCTCCTTCGGTGCAACCAGTCTGATGAAAGCCTGCTGTTTTTGTTGCATTTTCTCAAGCCCGTGTTTGAAGTAATGATTTATCACAATAGGTTGAAATCATGCTCGTACGTTACGTAATCTTCACGTGTCAGTCACGGACTGCGGCCATAGGAATGATCATATCCGGCACACTCGTGCAAGTTTTTGTGCCGGAGTCGATTTTGGTTCGACCGCCCCGGTAACTGATACGTTTATTAACCTTTTTTATAGTGAAATTCCTTGACTGTGATGAGGCAAGGAGTTTACAAAGGATTCAGATTCGTCGTCTGATCGTTTGAAAATTTTACGAATAGTTATTGAGCTATTAAAGATGTCTTTAGCATGGTGGTGCCAGTGGAGTTATACACAAATATATTTTTAATGGCAGACTAAAGGAGCTTCACGTCATGAAAACCATGAAGAAATTTGAAAGTTTTTTTACTGTAAATATTAATACAGAGCAAATTTGTTCTATTCGGACCTGTTATCGTCGGAATTACTAGTCTTGGTCCTCTGCCATGTATTGAAACTGATCGATTCTTTGGCCTTTACGGATAAAAGTTATCCTGAATTTGATGTTTTGTTCCTGCTGTTTTCATGCAGACCGCTGCTTATTGTCAGCGTTCAGTCCTTCGGTCACTGCATAGAGTCTGTATAAGTGGACAGTGGCCAGCTTCATTAGTTTCAGGATTCGACCCGTCTTTTTGTATATCAATGGATAGCTCTGTGAATTAGGGTTCTGCTGAAAACTTGCAAATTTTCTTGCAATGTTACTATATCAGCGAGGAGTCTGCGCGTGCTAGTTTACATTTATGTCATTGGTAGATGGTCATCTATGTAATTTGTTTTTGATTGCCTAGCAATGCAATGCTCTCTTCGTACACAATACAATTCTGTTGCCAAGCTGTGACTGCCAGATTCGTTTTTTATTTTTATTTTGTGACTTTATCTTGGTGACTGCTCGAGGTCGTTTGATCAGTTGCTGGACTTAGTAATTTACAAGTGGTCATTTCCAATAATTACTTCATTTAATCTTTCCTTTAATCAGTTTCACGTTTACTCAAGCTCATTAAGTTATCGCGAGTTAAAGTTAGCATTACCAGTCCAGTGGTATTTTAATATTAGTTCTGGACAAAAGTAATTATTATTCACAGCTCCGTATAACCTCAGTTAAACAGCATGTCCACGAAAGAATTTTTAGGGCAGGCATCTGTTTCTCAGTCGCTTCTATGAAAGGTACGTAATTCACGGTTCTTTGGGCAATAAATAACGCCTGATGTATATGTCGCGGTTAGACATGAATACCAGATATCAAACCTCATCCCTAGCGTTCAGCCACGATTCTAAAATTCGTGTAGTGTATCGTTAAAATTGACTTAAAGCAACTTGACTAATTCTATTTCAGTCTAATCCACTGCAACTGATATGTTCATCTAAGTTGACATATATATTGTGTTTCAACCTCCCCCATAGCCTATTCCCCAAGCCCGGTTGAGAAAGTAGGAGGGTTGGAGACCGTGGCGACCTCTCCATAAAATTTCCCCACCTGCAATGGTAGCATTGACCTCATCAAAACTTATACCGCCTCGATCATCGGCCCCGTTATCAATGCTGTTGCGGAGGGGAGGGGGCTAATGCATACTAGAAAAGTCTTCGATCAGAAACTGTACTTCGCCCTCTGCCAGCCGGGGCTTAGATACACAACAACGGCCGACTAAGATCGACGGAACCACCACAAAAATACCAGTCAGCAACCGAGTCGCTACCCGCTTTGAACGGAGGTGGTGGACAGCACGATGCCGTTACAGCACGTCAGAAAACGTCTCAAGGATAATGATACCGCCAGTGCGAGCTAACCCATAACAACTAACCCAACTTCTCCCAGGAATAAGGTTTCGATTTCGCTGCTGCTTTCGTTGCCGCCTTCCATGCCTCGACAATGGCACGCGAGTTGAAAGCTCTTTCTTTCCGAACCACTTCTTGAACGCTATCTTCTTCTTTTTCACTACTTGTGCCTCGTGTCCATAATGAAAGTTTTTCCTGTCCTTCAGGCGACAAGCCAATCCGTTTAAATCCGCAGTATTCGGTGGTAGTCTCGAGTAAGCCGCTCTTGAAGAGCTCCCACTCTGTTAAAAACATTAGTTCTCATCACCGGGATCTGTTCAAACCGTCGTGCGATGTTGCTCCCCTGTCCACCGAAATTTCGCTCCCTTGTCCACCGAAGATAATGTTTCCCGTTTGTTTCTCCGGTTGCTTCTGCCACCAGATCTACGTATGGTGCTCCGTTTCTTACAGCGCAGAGTGCCAACAGCAAGGTGATGATCGATTGATAGCTCTGCACCTCTCTTAACGGGAACAACCGTGACAGAGCGTTGTAAGTCTGACAATACGATTATCAAATCGATCTTCGACTTCTGTGCAAAAGCTTCTCTGTCCCAGGTACACTGATACAGGCTTCGATGCTCGAAGAAGGTGTTCATAATTGATAGTCCGTTGTTTGCTTAAAACCGCATCAGCTTCATCCCTTATTGTAGAGGTTGGTAGGGCTTTTCTTTCCAGTGATGCCGTTCCATTTTTCAGCGTTTTCTCCGACATGAGCATTAAAATTGCCCGTGAGTATGAGGGACTATTTTCGGCACTTTGGACTGAGCACACTGCATTTCCTCAAAGAAAGTCTCATATTTTCTCTCCAAATTAGGCGCATAGACCTGTACCACGGTCATCGATTTAGCCTATTGTAGCTTCAGTCAGTATATTATTACCCTTCCGCTGACAGGCTTCCAATTGATTATTTTATCGGCAAGGTTGGGTTCTACCGGAACGCCAACACTGGCCTGAGCGCGAGTCGTGATATCGACGCCTGAGTAGAATAGCTTCCACCTGCCGAGGTTCAGAATTCCAGAGACTTGGCGTTGTGTTGACGAGGGTCCAACAGTGTCGAGTTCATGATGGACAGTCCGTTGTTTGCACAAAACCGCAACAACTTCATGCCATTATTGCTGAGGTCGCTAGGGCCGTTTTTTGCAATCACGCTATTCCACTTTTCAGCGTCTACTCCGCTATGCGCATTAAAGTTGCCGATGAGTATGAGAGACTCTGAATGTATTTAGAGATGAATTTGCTGCTTCAAATATTAATTTACGTCATTTTTAGGGCGACAGTGGAAGTCCGTTGGAATGCGTTGAGGAAGACGGAAAGCATCGTCTTGTTGGATTGAGTTCCTATAATATAGATCGTGCGTACTACGGTTTTACGAATGTGGCACTCGTTAGTGAGTGGATAAGAAATATTCTGGCATTTAGTTTGAGAATGAGCGCATTTATTCGTACCTAACACCATGCAATATCGTATGATTTCTTTACTGACCTTGGTTATGTATGGGTAAATTTTTTTCACGGTGTTGCTTGTTGGATTCGTCTGTTGTATGATAAATTTCCGAGGAAATGGTTTCTGAAATTAAAATTGTTTTGCTTTGAGGGACTTATTTTATATTTGGTTTGCCATGCTTCGGAAACTAATTTTTAACCTGTGCGTTAGCTTGTGTGCCATGTCTTTTTAATTTAATGCTTTTGTACAAACTTTCTTCTTAATGTAGCTCCACTGTACGAGTGCGATATCTAAACTAGGCCTTACTGACCTTGGTGAATCACTTCAAATATGTCAAACGAAGTGCAGTAGCTTTCTTGAATCTACAACAAAGCTATATAAATTGATACAAATTCATCTTCCATGATCGCTTGTCCTTTCGGATCGCGGAGGCAGATGCCTCAGACAGTGGTTCCGACGTTCCCGATCCTGTGCCAGAGTCTCAGCTTCGGCAGAAAATAACTGTAGTCTGGAACAGACACCATTATATTTTTGTATCGGATTAATCTTCGCGGTTCCCTGGGTCGTCTTCCGGTCGTTTTGGCATGAAACACTTGCCTAGCCTTCTTGATGGAGTCATTTGCGACACCAGCTCAAACAATCGGAGATGTGACTTCTCAACCTTAAGAATCATCTGCTGTACACGAAAGCTCGCGCGGGTGTCTCTGTATCAACATTTGGTCTTAGTGACCTGCGGAAATCAATTCGGATAGCTCATACAAGTTGCAGAAGGTTTCCTCAAGCTACCAACGAAACCATAAGAAATACCCAAAGTTAAAAATTGATAAAATTCCATATTCCACTAAAATTCTGTTTTTCACACCAATCCTTAGACTGACGCACCAGCACCCCTGTGGCATGTTATTTTTAAACGTGCATTAGTTCTTTTTAACACTAATAGCTGTTTCGATTGTCTTTTGAAGGTATTTCTTATACGCTTAAAGGTACAATAGCTCCGTCTTCGAGTTTTGGCAATTATCGCCTTTTCACAAATGCCTTCTCCGATGACTTTACTTCATTTCAAGTCGATACACCTGAATCAAGAAATTCTTTTGAGGAAGATATTTTTCCTTAAGCAGCTCGGATAACAGAAGCATGATATTCTTTTCTGATGTTCCGATTATAACTGCCGGTTAACCGATTGTGGTTTCTAGCAGCTATCGCGGTGGGAAAATTTTCATGCATTTTTCTTACCTGCGAACTACAGTAGACGTACTGTGAAAATGTTGTTTCGGTATCGTTTCCTGTTCAAAATAAGATTTCTGAATGCGCGGCATGGTTTCAGGAGGCTCTTGTATAGATGACTTGACGTGATATTTTCTGAATTACTAGTGACTCAAGTACAGAAGACTACTGTTGGCTTAGGAAACGTCGTTCTCATATAAACGAAGGAAAATGCCTTCTTGTCGAGGGATGTTTGAGTTCATATTTTGTTGATGGTCCTTCTGCAGTGTATGAGTCGAGACAGCGCGCCTTACGCTTTATATTAGGTGCCTTTCTGCACATATTTGATTGAGGATATGGGTGATTTGCGCAGTTGGTTAGGCCATGATAGACTAATCCCTGATGATGAATATGCGTTCAGCTTAAGATTCGCAATACCCGCAACGCGGCGAG